GCGCGGCCCTCTGGGCTCAGCTGGCGACCTCGCGTGGCACTGAGGCGCTGGGGGACCGCAGGAGGGCGGCGGCCGGCTCCGACGACGTGTGGGTCCGGGAGGCAGTGGGCGCCCCGGACCAGCGCCCGGCTCTGCGGGGTCTGCCGGGTCTTCTCGGCGGTCGGGCCGCCAGCGACAAGGTCAGTGCCCGCCCGGAGGAGGCGTCCCGAGAGGGGGCTCCGCGGCGGCTCTCGGCTCCCGCCCGCCGAGGCGAAGCGTCCTGCCACGCGCACCTGCCTGAGGAGGTGAGAATGACTCATCCAAGCGGCCTCGGCCCGAGCCCTTCCCTCTCTCGCCAAACCCAGGTGCCCCGTCAAGGCCTCCGGGCGGACGACCCGCGCGTTAGGGCACTCACCTTCGCAGTACCCCACTGCGGAGTGTCCACATGAGCCGTCGCAAAGTGCTCTGCTGGCCCAACTGTTCCTGTGCGCTGTTTTCTGCGGTTATTGGTCCTCCATCTCCAGCAGCAAAGCTGTACCTTGATATGACCCACTCTTTGCTGCTGCAGCCTCATCCCTCAGACTATCTGAATAGCCAGCATGTAAGGAGGCCAGCACATGCATTACACCAAACTGCATCCTCTGAAGAGGGCAAGAAAAAGATCAAGTCATAAAGTACCTAACAACTAATTATAAAGAAATAACTGAAGATACGCAAATGAAAGAACCGTTTGTAATTTCGTTTACATTTTTAACATACCTTCATTTTCTTGTGCATTCAAATACATATCTCAAATACAGTTCACATCATCATTTTTTGAGCATCTAGTATTTGTTACACCCTGTATTAGGCGGGTAGTAGGGGATAAAAAAAAGGAAACTCATTTTATCCTTAACATCATGGAACTTGCCAATAGGGAATATAAGATCAATATAGTACTACATGTTGCTATAACTTTTTTAAAAAATTCAATTTAATTAACATATACTGTATTCATTTCTGAGGTATAATTTAGTGATTCATCATTTGAAGTGATGAGCGCTGGGTGTTGTATGCTATTACTTCTAAACAAAGTACCAGGTACTATTCTAAAAACTTTAAATATATTAAGTCATGAATTTTTATACCATTCCTTTGAGGGACTGTATTTTGCTGGTGATGAAAATTAAGCGCAGGTCATGTAGCTAATATGTGGTGGAGGTGAGATTGAAATCCTTAAATTCTGACTTCAGACCCCAAGTTCCTATTTTACTGTACTGCCATTGAGAAATAAAAGGATACTAGCACTAATCTATGGAATTTTAAAATTAGTACTTATTTCTCAGGAACCACTATCTCTCCCTCCCTCCCCCCGCTTGTGAAAGTAACACAAAAGAGCAGACAGCTTTCTATTAGCCTGGAAGCCCCTACCCTTCTTAAGAATTACATTATATCAGCAGTTTCACAGATAGAATTCTCTGAACTGTTTTCAGTAAGTGTTTTATTTCCATCCTGTTTGACAGGATATATGGAAGAAAAGGCTATAATAATATCACCGTAGAAATCTCTGGTGTTTAATTCCTTCCTTCATTCAAAAAAAAAAATGTGTATTGTCCACCTATAGTATGTCAGGCATTGTGCTGAGAACTAGAAGGGGTGCAAATAAGATTAAGACACAGTACTTTCCCTCAAGGAGTTGTAATCTCACAGAGGAAGCAAGCATTGACAGAGAACCATAATGTAAAACAGAAAATGAGTTTTGCTCAATAGAGGAATGAAATGCAATGGTAATTCCAAGGAGGAGAGAGACAGATTACTTCATGAAGGGAGGAGCTTGGGTTAAGGAAAACACATAATTGTCATTTAACTTATCGTTGATATTTAAGTACTATAAACAGTATGAGAATTTTTCAAATTCCCTTATTTCTTAAAAATTACATGCAAAGTTCTTATGTTCAGAAAAGACAGCTTATTACTGTAAGGATTGTTTCGGGTATGGAGAGGTTAGTAAGTGCACACTTTTTGAAGATGGTTTACCTTATCTCTCCTAGTGAGGGGCACAGAATAGAATGATGATGCACAAGATAGGATTTCAAGGTTAAAGGAATAGCAAAAGAAGTAAGGTGGTTTGCATTTCCCTGATGTTTAGTGATATTAAACATCTTTTCATGTGTCTGTTGGCCTTCTGTATGTCTTCTTTGGAAAAATGTCTATTCAGGTCCTCTGCCCATTGTAAATCAGATAATTATTATTATTTTTGGGGTGTATTAGAAGCTCTTTATATGTTTTGGGTATTAAGCCTTTCAGATATATCATTTGCAAGTATCTTCTCCCATTTAGTAGGTTACCTTTTTATGTTGTTGATGGCTTCCTTTGCCATGCAAAAGCTTTTATTTTGGTGCAGTCCCAATAGTTTATTTTTGCTTTTGTTTCTCTTGCCTGAGAAGACATACCCATAAATATGTTGCTAAGACTAATGTCCAAGAGATTACTGCCTATGTTTTCTTTTAGGACTTTGATGGTTTCAAGTCTCACATTTAGATCTTTAATACATTTTGAGTTTATTTTTGTGTATAGTGTAAGAAAGTGGTCCAGTTTCATGCTTTGAGAGATCACCTAATACCAGTCAAACTGACTAGTGTCCAAAATACAAGAAATAACAAATGTTGGCAAGGATGTAGAGAAAAGGGAACCCTCATAAACTGTTGGTGGGAATGTGTATTGGTGCAGCCACTGTGGAAAACAGTATGGAGGCGCCTCAAAAAACTAAAAATAGAAATACCATATGATCCAGTAATTCCATTGCTGGGTATTTACCCAAAGAAAACAAAAACACTAATTTAAAAAGGTATATATGCACCCCTATATTTATTGCAACATTATTTACAATAGCCAAGAAATGGAAGCAATCCAAGTGCCCATTGGTAGATGAATGGATAAAGAAGATGTAGCGTGTGTACACACACACACACACACACACACACACTAGAATATTATTCAGCCATAAAAAAGAATGAAATCTTGTCATTTGTGACAACATGGATATACCTAGAGGGTATTGTTAAGTGAAATAAGTCAGAGAAAGACAGATACCTTATGATTTCACTCATATGTGGAATCTCAAAAACAAAATGAAAGATGAAACACTAAACAGACAAACAAAAACAGACTTGTAAATACAGAGAACAAATTGGTGGTTGCCGGAGGGGAGGTGGGATGAGTAAAATAGGTGAAAGGGATTAAGAGGTACACACTTCCAGTAATAAATAAATGGTGGAGATTAAAAGTATAGCATGGGGAATATAGTCACTAACATTGTAGTAACATTGTATGGTGACAGATGGTGACTACACTTATTGTGGCAAGCACTGAGTAATGTATAGAATTGTCAAATCACTATGTGGTACACCTGAAACTAATATTATACGTTAACAGTACTTCAATAATAAACATATATTTAAAAAAAAGAAAAAGCAAAGTGGGAGGGAACAATGTATGTCTGGGAGCAGCCAGGACTGTGACAAGACCGGGTCAAGGGTTGCTGGAGAGTAGCCTGTACCACACAGAACTGCTCTTGCAAGATAGAAATTGTGTTTTCAACTGTTTTTTTTCCCCTTGTCTTTTAATTATGACAAACATATGCCACAAATATTCTGGGATGGTCTGAGTTCAGAAATTTGATGCCATTATGCCCATGAGTTCTTGTCATTAAGATTGACAAATATTGGTCAGTATATTCATGTTAGTGTCTGGAAAGTAGAGATCATTTTATATTCAACACACTTTTTTAAAGATTTTATTTATTTATTTGAGAGAGAGTGAGTACGAGGAGGGAGAGGAGCAGAGGGACAAGCAGACTCCCCGCTGAGTGCAGAAGTTGACACAGGGCTCGATACCAGGATCCTGAGATCATGACCTGAGTCAAAGTCAGATGCTTAACCGACTGAGCCACCTAGGTACCCCTCAACAAATGTTTAATAAATAAGGAGTTTGTAAAGGCAGAGAGAGGCTATTTGATAAAGACCTCTAAATAGTTAGATGTTTTAATATGGTAGGTGATAGGGAGCCCATAGAAGTTTTTGAGCAGGTAGTTGCATGTTAAAGACCAACCTAAGCATTTAGAAGTGTTATCTTTTAGATAAAGGACTGAATGCAAGTGCATATATCTTCTGTCAGTAGTTCAAACAAAATGTTACTTTTTTTTTTTTTAAGATTTATTTATTTATCCGAGAGAGAGAGCACAAGTGGGAGAGGCAGGGGGAGGGAGAGAGAATCTCAAGTAGACTCCTTGAGGATGGCGGAGCCTGATTGGGGGGCCTCAATCTTGCAACCCTGAGATCACTACCTGAGTTGAAACCAGGAGTCGGATGCTTAACTTACTGCACCACCCAGGCACCCCAGTTCTAACAAAATTTTAAAATATAAACATGAGAATGAGTGTATTTTCTCTTAGGCCTTAGATAAAAATCTGTTGGGATATTGAGAAGACTGTGAGGGGAAAAAGTAATCAGAATGCCCCTGAATCCTCTTTTGTACTTTTCATATTCTGATGGTGACCTCCAGTGGAAGGTAATCAGTGCACCCTTTTTGCTTACAGTACACATCTCTTGGGGCAACTACCTAGCACACAATTGCCCTTTGCTGTGAGTGGCTCTAGAGCATAAGGATAAGATCTTAGTGGCCTTCTCAGACTTAGGCAACTCAACCCCTGGCTGCTGCCATTTGATCCAGAGGTAGACACCCAATGTAAATTGGTGCTGTCATAGTCTCTCCCAAATTTGAAACTCAGAACAAAGCAGTACATGGTAATTCTATGTTTAACTTTTTGAGGAACTGGCAAACTGTTTTCCACAGTGGCTGAACCATTTTACATTCCCACCAAATTGTATGAGAATTCCCATTTTTCTATACCCTCACCTTTTCTATACCTTTTCTTGTTTTAGACATTGTAGTGGATTTAAGTGGTACCTCAGGGTGGTTTTGATCTCCCTAGTAGCTAATGGTGTTGAACATGTTTTTCATGTGCTTGTTGGCCATTCTATGTCATCTTCAGAGAAATGCCTACTCAAGTTATTTGCCCAGTTTTTGTTTGCTTTTTGTTATTGTTGTTGTTGAGTTGTAAGAACTCTATTTTGGATACTAGATTGTTATCATATATTTGATTTGTAAATATTTCTCATTCTATATATTGTGAATGTACTGTATACCACTGGATTGTTCTCTTAAAATGGTTAAATTTGTGTTATATGAATTCCCCCACAATTAAACAAAACAAAAACAAAACCAAAAATCAGAACAAAAGAACCAAGCAGCAAGAGCTTGGGAA